GGAGAGTTAGCAGTTTGTGCCAGATGAGAAGCAAGATTAATGTCAATGGCTTTACAGTTAAGTAGCTAGTATGTTATTTAAGCAACAAGAACAACCCAATACCTCTTCAAAATAAATATGTATCAGTCATAAAAGGACAAATCTTTTATGATCTCACTTATGTGAAATAAGCAAATATATAGAAACTAAAGATTATCAATGGCTATTGTGAGTTGGAACTGAGTCAACAGCACTTAACAACAACAACTATAGGTGGAATCAAGGGAAAGAAGGGGAGTCCCTCTTAGGGGGCATTGAGCTTATGGTATTGGTGTTAGAATAGTTTGGAAAAGGATGACAGTCATGGTCACAACACAAAGATGTCATTAGTGTCACTAGACTGCACCTGTGGAAATTGTTAAATTAATGAAAGAGCAACAACAACAACAACAACAACAATCTCTCCCAGTGAATTCTGGCAACAAAATGGCTAGGACAGCCAACTTTCCTTCTTTGCCTTCAGTTACTGAAAGCACTTCAAAACTGAATTTTTAAATCCAAATTTCCATATTTTAAGGGCTGGTTGGAGTTTTAAATATGCAGCATTTGGGTCTAGAGTGACTGATGTGAACGTTCAATAATCCTTGTGTTAGCATCTGTGACGAGCTGTGATGTATCACATTCCAGCTCAGAAAATAGCTTTCAGGATTCAAAATGCCACACAGTGCATTTTGGTTCTTTCCATAGAAGCCTCCCTTTATCTCCCCTAGACGTTTTCATGTCACACTGTTCTTCCTCATTCCATGAAGCCTGGCGTATACATCGGGCTCCTGTGGTGGGTGTTCTTTAAGGCTCTGCACAGCATTGTTATCTATGAAAACCAAACAAAGTTTGGAGATGAAGGACTGAGTAGATTAGACTACTAGCCTCATCCCTGATTGCTGTCCACCTATGTCAAATTATTTTAACCTGTCCCAGCCCTGAACCAGGCTTACTTCATGACTGTCCTCTCAGCACTGAGCTGATCTGCTCAGGAGCCTGAGCAAGTTGGAGAACCCAGTTTCAGACAGAAACTCACGAAGACAAACTCTCCGTTCTCTTTATTGTCGTCGTTGTTAAGTGCCGTTGAGTCGATTCCAACCAATAGCGACCCTGTATAGGGTTTCCAAGGAGTAGCTGGTGAGCCTGAATCACTGACCTTGCAGTTCAAATGACTTTGCAGTCTGATGCATTAGCCCACAGCACCACACCAGGACTCCATCATATAAACTACAGTTCCTGACTGGTTTCTGCTTCATTGTTGTCCCTTCAAATACCAGCCTCTGAGAATCTTAATGGTGGCTTTTAAACAGTATTAATTGAGTTGTTAGTAAAAATATCCAGAAATGATTACCAATAATAAGCGTTTCAAAAGAAGCCGCATTTATAAGAATAATGTGAAGCATGAAGCTGTTACGGCTTTTCTTTCTGCTATTTCATTTTTTAAAAGCATCTTCTAGAAACTGTACTTCTTAAGACATGAGGTTGCATTTTAGAAATCCAAGAATTTAGAATGTACGTATTTGAAGAAGCAGAAAGCTTTTTCCCTAGGTTGGAGTGATAAGGTGGTTGCTCAGTTAACTATTCCTTCGATTTGCTATATCTTTGTTTTGTATAAGGAAATACTGTCTTGTACCAATCTTAGTGGCAAGTCTAAGAAATATACCTCACAAGAGTGAAAACGCTGGACTGACTTCACGTAGACGTCAGTATCTCATCATCAACCTAAAAAGCGTGGATGATGCCATTTGACTTGTCTTAGTCCTGCCCAATAGGAATGTTGGGAGATGTAACAGCATGCCATGTTTGTTTTTACTGTTGGTCTCCAGTCTAATGCCCTTGCTGCTGTTTTTTGTTTTGTTTTGTTTTTTAATGTTTTATTGTGAATTATGTGATCATTTACATGGGAGAAAATTAGTTTTACGTTCATCCTATCGTATACTGTTTCATTACCATGGTTACAATCCCCTCCATGCACCATCAATCAACCAAAGGGCACATCCTACAATCCTGCCCTCCCCACCCCCCACACACACCCCAGTCGTCAGCACACAGACCGTCTCCCTCTCTGGGTCTAAAGTCCCCAGCTGCGCCATCTCTCCACGTCATCGTCTCTGCCTCCATCTCAGGGTCCCCCTCTCCGCTCTTCTCCCTTCATGGTCCCAGGGACCTCCACTCCTAGACTGAAAAGTTAATCACTCCCCCTCTTGCCACAAAATGTCTACATTTACAATCCTCACAATCATTCCTGATAACAATTATTCACCATTGTATCACAAGAGACCAATCCGCATTTCCTTTCATCAGCCCTTCCTAGACAGATTGGATACTACTATGGAGATTCTACCTTCCTTGGCACCCTCTGGATAGAGGTTCCCTCTTGAAAGCTTGTAAGCCAGTCACTTCTTGCCTATATAGCCCCACCCCCATTGTGGATAGACGATGTCCAAGTTGCCCAAACCTGTCTACTCTGTGTATGGAGGGGGTGGGAATGATCCTCGCTGTAAAGATTTGGTCTCTCTTTTGCTTACTGCTGTTTTTATATGCTGTCACACCATCACCATAACCTGCTGGACACTTTGCTAGAGGTACCTCATATGTTAGCTTGTAGGCAGATACCATACCTAGCTGGCAGCCAGAATTGATTTCTGGAAAATGAGGGTGTTTTCCAAGAGAAGATGGAAAAAAAACTAAACAGACAATATTCTCTCCCACCTACATATTTTGGGGCTTAGGCTCTTCATATGAGGAGTAATATGCTCTGGTAGTGTAGTGGTTAGGAATCGGGCTGCAAACCGCAAGGGCAGCAGTTCAAAACTACCAGCTGTTCCGCAGGAGAAAGATGAGGCTTTCTGCTCCCATAAAGATTTACATCCTCGGAAACCCTGTGCAGGGTCGCTATGAGTCGGAACCGACTCCACAGCACATAACAACAACAACATGCTTATATGTGACCCATTTTTTTGATCCACTACTAAAATTACCCTTTCCATTCTCTTTGTCATGACTAAACAACTTGAGGAAAACCAATGATTATAACCTATGATGATGAGGCAAGTCTTTGGGACTAGGTGGGTGAGAAGGTGTCCCCATTAAAGCCAGAACTCAGACATTTCAAGGACATTTAGAATCTCACTAATGCTGAAATACTCTGATGGTCCAGTTCTAAGATGGGCAAATGGTGAGAAAATGGTTGATGTTGAACAAATAATCAAAAAGTCATCAGTATATTTGCCCTTTTAAACTATTCCTGTAATAATCCTTTCACTACTGAATTATTTTCCACTTTGATTTTTTTAAACCATGTCTTTTCAATAAAGAAGGCATTTTGAATCAAATGAAAAAAAATTTTTTTTTTTTGGTGATACGGATTTTAAACAGTGGGACACATATGTCCCGATGGGCCTCTGGTGCTGAGTTGGTGGCATGAAACCATTGCTTCAGTGGAACTGTGGGTAAATGCGTTGGACTGCAAAGTCAGTTTGAACTGCAAAGTCAGCAGTTCAAGCTCGCCAGTTGCTCCTTGGAAACCCTATACAGAGTTGCTATGAGACAAAGCCAACTCGAGAACACTCAACAACAATAACACACAGGTCCCCACCAGATGGCAGCACACACTAAACATGGGATGGTAGTTTTCTACTAAATCCAAGAGAAAGAAGATGTAAGTGGGCACTATAGATTCCAAAAGGGTTAGAATGGTGATAGACTACAACATAGAAGTTGCAGCCTTTCTCTAACCACGTTTCCAGTTGAAGGCACGCAGCTTGACCTTAAATATAAAAACTGGAACCTGTTTTACTGGTAAAGAAATAGGTTTTAATCTAAGAAGATTATGTCCTTTATCCATTTGGCCACCTTAAGAGAAAAACGAAAGATTATTTACAAAAACCATGGAGTTTAATTTCTCTTGCAACAAGGAAGTGGCACCCACTGAACATAAATGAAAAGTAAAACTAGGAACTGCTAAGGTCTTTGCCGTATCTGTTCAGTTAGCCATATTGAATATCTGTGTAATTCTGCTGTATAGGTATGGAAATCAACAAGTGGCATACTATACAGCAGCCAGGCAAAGAAATCTTCCGTAGGGCTCACGTGAATAAACATTGGAGCCCATTGGAAAGACAGGGGCTGACTTTTCCATAAAAGGTTTGGTGTCAGTATTTCATTATGACTGTACATCAAGTCAGGCTGACTTGAGTTCACCTCAGTCCCACCATTGGTGTACATGTGTTATAGACCAGCACTTGACATCACTAATTCAGTTTCCTTATCTGTTGTAGGTGGATAACTAGTACTTACTAGAAAATTGTTGAGAAGATTACATGAGACCCTGCATGTAGAGTTTCCTGCACCATGTCTGGCATATAGTAATTGTTCTGTAAACATTGGCTACGCAATAATAGTCAACTCAGCTTTGTGGACAAACTCTTGAGTTACTTCTGTGATCTTGGTTTCTCCATTCATAAAACAAGAGTAACATTTCTCTTACCTACTTACTTATCCATGACTTTGTTATAAGGATCAAATAAGATCAGTTCTCGAAAGAACTTACAATGATGAAGCATCCACAAACACATTGGGAAGGAAAAGATGTACACGGCATAACACAATTGGAAAACATTACAGAACAATGTGTAATCCAGTGTTGGACTGTAGATACTCAGGAAAAGGAAAGAATACTGTGACCTCTGGTAGCGTAGTGGTCAGCAGTTTGAAACTATCATGAATTCCACAAAAGAAAGATGAGGCTTTCCTCTCCTGTAAAGATGTATAGCCTCGGAAACCCTATACAGGGTCATTTTGAATCGGTACTGACTCCATGGCACATAACCATCACCAGTGTTGGGGTCAGGCCCTGTGAAACAGGGGAACGTTCAGTGGAGCCTTGAAGAAAAGGCGGGATGTGGCTGGGAGAAGGGGATCTTACATTAACAGCTCTAGCTGACTAATATTTGGTGTGTGTCCCTCTGTTACTACAGGCGGAGCTCATTGGAAGCCTCACCCAAAAGCTTGAGATCCTCCAGGAAGCAAAAGGAAGTGTGCTGATGGACATCAAACTCAACAATGCTTTGGGAGAAGAGGTGGAGGCTTTGATCCATAAGCTCTGCAAGCCCAATGAGTTTAACAAGTACAAGATGTTCATAGGGGACTTGGACAAAGTGGTAAACCTACTGCTTTCCCTCTCGGGGCGCCTGGCCCGTGTTGAGAACGTCCTTAGTGGCCTTGGGGAAGACGCCAGTAATGAAGAACGGGTAGGTGACCTGACAGTTCAGTTCAACATGTTTCCCTCTGGGCCATGTACAAAGAGAAGGGCCATTAGACAAGATCCCTTCCTGCTAGATGATTACAATCTCTTTGGGGTGGGGAGAGAAGACAGCAAGCATATAGATAACCAGGAAACAGAGTAGAAGGCATCTTTCATGCCAAGAGGTAAATGCTGATACGTCAGTCTCAGGAAATACTTGGAAAAGAGAAAACACAGGTTTCTTTCCTCCCAACCTCCTTCCATTTTTTTTTCAATCCCAGAAGACAGGAACATGCTGGGTATTGATATTTCTTGAAATGGTATGGGTTGAAGCAAAATAGTTTGGGATGGAGATAGGGTAAGGCACCATGAACTCAAGAGTTCTAAGGAATCTGCATGTGAAGTTCTGCAGACACTTAGGAGCCTGAACAATTGGAAACTGATTTCTATAGAGGTGGGAGATCTGGTGAGTCTATTGTTGTTTATGGACTAGAGCAGAGGTTCTAAACTTAAGCTACAAAAGAGTCACCTGGAGGGCTGTTAAAACAGATTGTTGGGCCTGACCTCTTGAGTTTCTGATGCTGTAAGTAGGGTAGGGCCTGAGAACTTGCATTTTTTAACAAGTTCCCAGGTAGTGATATTGCTGCTCTTGGTTCAGGGACCACACTTTGAAAACCAGTGTCTTAGTGTGAGAACTTTTGTTATCAGGTAATAGCGAGTCGATTTCAACACATGGTGACCCCAAGTGACATGTGACTACCACATAGGGCTTTCTTGGCTGGAATCTTTATAGGACCAAGTCTTCAGGCCCTTGCCCTATGGAACTGCTGGGTGGGCTCAAACTACTGACCTTTTGGTTAGCAGACAAGCACTTAACTGTTGCACCACCAGTGCTCCTTCTTGTAAGGCTAGAAACCTAAAATAATTACCCCAACTAGCTTAATTTTACCCTTCTCAAATTAAAGCTACCAAATGATGGTGCGAATTGAAAACCCATATGAAATACAACACCAGAATGATTAACCGGAAAATATAATAGTGATGAACTAGATAGAAACAGCCTAAATGTCCATCAGCAGATGACTAGATAAATAAAATGCCATATATGCATACAAACATAACAGAAATGAAGTCTTCAGTGAGATGAAACAAAATGTGTCTGAATTGTTGAATGGAAAACCGATCTGTTCTGTAAATCTTCACCCAGTTCCCAATACAAAGTTTTAAAAAGGGAGAGAGAAATGTCGCAAATGTATGAACCTAGGAAGCATATGTGAATTCAGTCCATTGTAAAAAGGCATGTAGTGTATGAAGTAAGCAAATATATACAAACCAAAGATTATTAGTGGTTTCTCAGAGTGGGGGTAGGAGGGAGGAAGGGAGAGCTTTTCTTAGGGGGCATTGTTGTTAAGTGCCGTCAAATCTGTTCTGCCCCATAGCGATCCTGTATAGGGTTTCCGAGGAGCGGCTGCTGAGTCTGAACCACAGACCCTGTGGTTAGCCAGTCTAGTGTTTATCCTGTAGATCCAGACCAGGACATTAGGTGTATGTTATTGGTGATGGAATAATGCAGGAAAGGATAGAAGTAATGATCGTACAATATGAAGAATGAAATCATGGTCCATGAGTCATACAGATGACATTGTAATCATTGTCCCTGAATCATACAAATGACACATGCAGAAATTACTAGATTGGCAAATGTTTTTTTGGTGTGTATTTTCATCCCATTACAAATATTTTTAGAAAGAGAATAAATATACCAGGGAGGAAAAAAAAAAAAAGAAGAATGAACTGATTTTTTAAGAAGTCCCTAGATGATGCAAGTGGCTGACTGTTCAACTACTAGCCAAAAGGTTGGCGGTTCTAGCCCACCCAGAAGCACCCCCTAGCATTGGTCTGCTAATCTACTTCCAAAATGCCACAGCCTCAAAAACCTTACAGGGCAGTTCCACTCTGCACATACAGGGTCGCTATGAGCCTGAATCAACTTGACAGCACCTAACACCAACACAAGGAGCCCTGGTAGCGTAGTGGTTACAAATCAGGCTGCAAACCTTAATAAGGTCAGCAGTTCGAAACTACTAGCTGCTCCGAGGGAGAAAGATGAGGCGTAAAGATTTGCAGCCTCGGAAACCCTGTACAGGGTCGCTATGGGTCAGAACCAACTCGACGGCACTTAACAACAACATGCGAGAGTGGAAAATTCAGATAGAAATGTAGACATTGTGCGGTTCTGCTAAAGGCTTCTTTGCAGGCAGTCCCCCTACCCCCGACACTTTGCTGACCTGCTTGTCTCACCCTGGCAGAGCTCTCTCAACGAGAAGAGGAAAGTCCTAGCGGGGCAGCACGAGGATGCCCGGGAGCTCAAGGAGAACCTTGACCGAAGAGAACGGGTGGTACTGGACATCCTGGCCAGTTACCTTTCCGAGGAACAGCTTCAGGACTACCAGCACTTTGTGAAAATGAAGTCAACACTCCTCATTGAGCAGCGGAAGCTGGATGACAAGATCAAGCTGGGCCAGGAGCAGGTCAAGTGTCTGCTGGAGAGCCTTCCCTCAGATTTCCTTCCCAAGGCTGGGGCTCTGGCGTTGCCCCCAAACTTTGCAAATGAAACGGCTCCTGGGGGGGGCGGAAGTACTTTTAGTAGTATTTTCCCACCATTAACCTCTCCACTTTAACACACATCACCCTCAAAAGATCACCTTTTCTCTCAACACTATTTAATCTGAAAAAGGTGTTTCAGTACAAACCATGGGTTATTGGGGGTTTTCCGGATAAAAGGAAACAAATTCTATCCAGGAAAAAAGCCTGCTTCTATTCTTTTTTTTCCCCTTTCTCACCCTTCATGATTTAACCTGTGAGCTTGAATGCTGCTGGGAACTTACCCCTTTCTATTATTACTTTGTAGTAGAAAGAAAATTAATGAAACTGTGAGAACTGGTTGGAGGATGTTTGATTGATTGTTTAGTTTTTCACAGGCTGAAGCAACATAGATCAGTGTGTGCCACCCTCAGGAAAGTATCCACAGTGGCCTTCCTTTCGTGTGGGAGAGTATTCCTACGCCTGGGCATGAGTCCTCAGTAACAAAACGTCTGCAGCATAAAGCCTTAAAAAGACAGACACACATACACACACCCTGAGAGAACGAATTGTGAAACCTTTGAACGTTGTTATTATTTATATTTTTAAAAAATGAAAAGATCCTTTCGTTTTGTGTACTCACCACTTACTGGATTCTATTTTGTGGTGGATATAGACAATTCTGTTTGAGCTTTGTATTTTGTGGAAACCTTAATGAAGATGAAGAATTCCAAAGACGGTTTGCATTGAGTCTGGAGACTTGTTTTTTTCCCCCTGCACTCTAGAGTTGTCTGATTTGTATTAATTTAAGTGAGTAAACACCCTACACTTCTGTGTATTCAGTGGAGTACATAGGAACTCCACTCTCAGTTTCCTTACCATTTTACTTCTCTACCAAACAGAAATGCCTCCGCCTCTCCTGGGAAGAAGCCGTTGTTCAACATGGGTCTCTCTCTCTCTCCCTGTGCTTCGTGTCATTATTATTGTAGTGAAGCTAAATGTATGAATAAGAGCAGCAAATCTCTCAAACCCAGATGATGAGAGGAAGGCCAGTGCAGAACTGACTTCATGCTGTCCTCCTAAACAGGCAAGAGTCTATTTAGAAGTTCGATTATCAAAATACTCCAAAAAATATATATATATATAGTTTGTGCCCTAAAATACAAAGCCCGTCCAGCACCCTTTCAACATTTGAAAACCTTAACTTTGCACTATCATACTACCAGACTTCAATAACAACACCTCCATGGATGTTCCAGAGCTAAAGGTGTAAGATAAGACATAAGTAGTTGTTAATGGTCAGACCCTGTTTATAGCCACTAGTGATGGTGAAAGCCTCAGACTTGGAGCTAGTGGTGCATCCCAGGCAGTGATACAGCTTTTTCCACACGTGCTTGATCCCCGGTTATTTCTGATGATGTAGACATGCAAGAACGGTAGCAGCCAGTGGTAGAGAATTGGGAATAATTCGTAAGGAAAAAAACAATGGTGAGGGTACCAAAGGCATTTGTTTCCCTCAGTGCATTTTAATTAATGCAGTTTTATGTTCTTATTAAAATCAGTTCCTCTTTAGTAAAATTTGACTAATGGTGACCCCGTGGGTGTCAGAGTAGGGTCCAGTGGCTGATTTTTTGGGAATTAGATCTTCTGAGTTGCCTCCATCTGGATTCTAACCACCAGCCTTTAGCCATCAGTTGAGCACATTAACCATTTGTACCAGGAGTGCCAAGTTCTTAATAAGAACTAAAAGCAAAACTT